GAGAGACTTGATGCCCCTTGAGCTTACCTGTATTTTTTGCTCAATGAAAAGGGAGCATGAGCACAGTAAGAAACTGGGCTACATCAGTTCTGTGAGTGTTTCCTTAGCACTGTTTTTCTTTTGTAGCAAAGTGAGATCCCAAAACTTTTTTATTTTGTTCTTTCTCTCCAGATCTGAGTCAGTTCAGCAATTTGAAATATTAGCATAGACCCTTCCCAAACTCAGCTGGAAACTATTTTTCCCTTTCCTCATGTTTTAGGAAGATGCTAGCTGAGGAAAAAGTTATACCACTAGACTAAACTTCCTCAGGTTTCTCAGTTAACCACAATGAAACTGAGCGCTTATGTGATAAAAAGGAGATGGTCTAAAATAGCACCTCAGCAGTAATTTACATGGTGCTTCTGAAATTCTCAGTTCTAATGAATTAAGGCTGCCTTTAGGTCTGCTGTAAGTTCTTTGTAGAATCTTTGCATGTTTTTTACATGGTGTGCAGTCAAAAGGCTTGGATTCATGGCATGTGCAACAAGAAGAGGTTCCTGAGGCTTCTGTTTTCTACTGCTTCTGGCCTTACAAGTGTTTTCAGTAGAGATTCAGGATGATCTGGGTTGTTACATCTCTTGTAGAAGCCAAAACAGTTAGGGCAAGGTGTAGTTATTAAAATAATGGAAGTTATTTTCACCCTCTTCTGACCTCTGCCACTTTCAGTATTGTATTTTGATGCTGTGTTGCTGAAGAAGTGCTGCATAGAATCTGCTTGGTTGGGTTCAGATACATGTTGCCTTGGTGATCGTACAGTATGTTGACTTCTGAATGCCTTCTGAATGTGATTGCAATTGCTTACAGTCCCTTCAGATCACAAGAATAACAAGTGCAACTTCCTTTGAAATTTCTGTGCAGGATAGTCTAGAATCTTCCAAAATTTCTGCAAAACTGCTTGAAGAAGCACAGCTAAAAGGTGACGTGTTACCACTGCGAGCATACTGCTTTGCCATGGCAATGGCTCTCAAACAGGTACAATATCTTTTGTTTTCATTTGTGCCTGGGTCTCTATAGTTTTATTGTAGAAAGACAGTTGGCTCTGAAAGGAAGCTTCCTTTTCCTGGAAAGTAAACTAGAAATGGAGAAATCGTAACTGATCTATGAATAACTTCAAGTATTGGAACTTTAAGGCTCCTGAAACAGTAGGATTATAGACAACTCCCACATGGATTGACTATGGAAATTCTGAAATCTAAACGTATGTCTTGAGTCTAATGCACAGGTGTTTTGTGCTAATGACAATGCTATCTAGATTATTTTTGGGAAATGAAAGAGTTGGACCAGCAGGTTAGATGTAGCCATGGATCTAGTCCTGCAGATGCTGCAATTTAGTGATGATTTCCTTTAAATAGAATTAAAATGAGAGTTTAAAATATTGTGCAATCATCTCGTTAACATGTTTATCTTGGGAGGCAGATGGAAAGCTATGAAGTGTATTGCCCTATTGTCTGGGAGGTGGCCTGTCTCTCTCCACAATGTATTTCTTCAGGGGGAGGTTTTCATATATGTCACGTGCCGAAGTACTGATATGAAGAGATTCTGAGGCAGGACAGGGTGAAAGATTGAGCAGGAGAATAATAATTAACAAATTCTAAAGCCTTGGTTTTCCTCTGCTGTTAATTTGTATATACAGCTTGACTATATTCTGAACCTTCTCTGTTTCATGTTTTAAATAGGTCAGAGACACTGTAAGGGCTATAGATTTGATCTTATTCACAAATTTGAATGAATTAAGTAGAATTATTAAAAGTTTCTTATGCACTCTGTGAACAGTGATGCTGAACAATAGCATCATTGAAACAAATTGATATACGTGTGATGGCATGGTAGGACTTCTTGTTAGTGTTGAGAAGAGTAAAAACAAAATCTCTGTCTCTGAAATAACATGAAATGTGCTTGATGCTCTTGCTTTTTGTAAAAATCATATAAAAGTCTTGTTTTGCAATTGGAATAATGCTCCACATTGCATTTAACTGTTCCTTAACCTGCATGATCTTTGACAGTACATCATGCTGTGAGTAAGATATTTCTTGATCCCAAGTAACGTTGCTTGGTCTAGTAAATGTCAGTGTAACATTTACTGTCTATACAAATCAGTTGATGACATAGATACAGTACTGTAAATGTGTATGTCCGAAAGGTTAAAAGTGGTGGCAAGGATAAATATCCACATTAACATACGCTACACATCTTTGAATTACTCTAACGTGTGCCGAACTGAACATGTGTGTAGGTCTTTTATATTTTAGGTCATCTCCTGCTCAGTGTTGGTTACAGGCATCACACTGTGCTAAAGAGCCAGATGACATGGGAACTGCGGCATAGGGTGTTTCTTGAGCAGGCTGCATGCTGTGTGGTGTCTGTGGGTCTTAGTGAAGGCTTCTAGGTGCTGGTTTGTGATTTATTGTGAAGTTGTGAAGAATTGTTATTTTTCTTGAATTTTTATTGTGAAAGTTTGTGACACATGTTTAACTGTGTTTTTTTTATTATTTATAATTCCTTCCTAGAACGATGTAGCACAAGCCAAATTTTATTGTTCCCAGATAATGAAAACAGAGAACAAACTATACAGTAATCTTAAAGTAAGTATGCTTGCTTTGTATTAAAATCTTGCAGAGGAGTGTGCTATACTGGACAAAAAAACCTGCCATGTGCAAAGTAACAGAAGGCAGGCTTCATAGTAGCACAGGTGCTTGTTAGTCATGTTGCTGGGCTTGTTTTTTAGCCAGCAGACAAATTCTGTCAGGTGAATGACTTACATTCTGAATTGTTAGCAAGCTCGACCCATTTTTTAAAAATCATTTCCTACCACAGATGGAATGTAAAGTAGACCAGTTCTACATCTGTGAGTATAGACCCGTGGACAGTTTCTAATTATGACACTGTGACTTCTTGCTTTCTTGTTGTGAGAGATTTAAAAAAACACGGCTCCAAGTGTGTGCTTTCCTTAGCTGTGCTCTGCCCACTTCAGGTCTCCTTCAGCCCTACAAACCTTAATCACATGTGTACATGCAACAATGTACTTTACTTGCACAGTCTACAACCTGAGAGAAAGTCTACTGCATGTGCCATGAAAGTGACCTCTCTAAGCTATGGTAAAAAATGCTTTATTCAAGAACAGCTAATGCAGCTCCATCAGCAGAGCTCTGCCTCCAGGTTCACTCTTCCTTTCCAGGTCCCAGTAGTGGAGAAAAACAAACCTCTGCTTTCTTGATGGTTAATGGATTTTAATCAGTGCAGCATCTGGCAATTTATTTTGTCCTGCTTTGCTTAATGTCTTCCTCAAACACTTAAAAAAAATTGCATTCTTACTTCAAGTACTATTTGTGTGGTATGCTTTTATTTTATTTTTAAGGTTCTTGTCCAGCTCAGATCTGGTTTGCTAGAAGAAGTGATAAAGACTTTAGAGGCAGCAGTGGAAGTAGATACTCCTCCCTTTGTGAAAAAAATAGAGTTTTCTGAGCAGGTGGTAAGTATACAGTAATGAGAGGGCACTTCAGGTGTCTGAGTTCACCATACTAAATTTGTTTGGGTTCCGATGCATTCAGATGCCAAGACAACTGTCTGCCTTCTTGAATTGTTTGTCAAAACACTTAGCTGTTCACATTTTTTATTATGGATCTTGCTCATAGAAACTAGTATTTCATCTGAATGTAGATGAAGCTTTCCCTAGTGGCATTAAATAATTTAATCCCTTGCCTTCTGTGCTATTTTCATTTGATATGAGAATGAGAATACAGTTCTGATCACAGTGATGTTGTTAGGTTCACAATATTTGCAAAGATCTGTGATACTATACAGGGAAGTGTGATATGGATAACTGCAGCTTTTGCTATTTAGTAGTATTTTACTATGAAAACTAGCTTTTACAGTCTTCATCACCAAGAATCCTCCCTTCAGAGCAAACATGTAGTCCTAATTGGTTTAAGCTGCATTGGTGGTGCTTTTTTCTGAATCTTATTAGTGTATTCATTTGAACATGCCTGTAGAAAAAAGCATTTTAAGGTTGCATGAATAATTAAATACTTAGCCTTTTGCTGCTGCCTATTAAGCAAAATTAATAACTAGCATGTAAAATAAATATTAGGGGGCATACCCATCAAAACATATCCCATGTATATTAACTGCTATGCTGAAAAGAAATTCTTTAAGCAGTATTTCATTTTATAATGTCATTGCAATAAATGTTGCATGTGTCGGTGTTGTATTTTGATTTCATTTTGGGAAATTTTAGCAGCCAGAGGAAGACTAAGTATTAGTCCACAAAGGGTTATAAATCAAAAATATATTTTAAGATATTTACTTAATATTTGAGCTCATACTGTGTGCATGGCATACAGAACTTCTCAGTGTTCTATAGTCTGATTTTTATTGATTTGTACTGTACACTTACTTGTGTACATAATAATATTTAGAATTGTGCTGATCTGGAAAGTAGATTGCAGGAAGCAATTATGTTTCCTGGATTTAAGTAGAAAATAATTGTGTTAGTCTATACCAGGACTGAAAGTAGGACTGTACAACTTTGGGGAGGTTTTAAATCTAATAAACTTTCTCTAACAGTTAGCCAGTGCATTTCCACCATTGCCTGGTGATGCATAATGTGTGCTGTGTAAAATCCTTGTGTATGAGTCATTGCCTCAGCCACCTATCTTACCCTGTGTACTTGTTTTATTACTGTGAGTGATTGCTTGTCTTCAATATGGTGATGGAACGAGATCTTCACTTGCTGAATTGTAACAGTCTGTCATTTTCTCTTCCTTAGCTGGCTACAGTCAGGGAAAAGATGGAAGAAAACCCTGACCTTTCTCTCAGATTAGGAAATATTTATATGAAACTGCAAGCTTCGGGACGGATAACCATGTGCACACTGGAAGACATGCTTTTCCAGATTCGTAGTTCCAAGAAGACCACTGCAAAGCTTTTAAATCAGAAGCAATTGGGCTATCAGGCTGCTAATCCACTTCAGTCAAATCTGTTGTTGGAATAGCTCGGTATTTGCTAGCAGCAAATACCATCAGCCAGGTTCAAATAAAATGTCTTCTCCCCTTTTCCCCAGTGAGCAGTTCTAAGTTACTTGTGTAAAACTGTATTTTAAATACAGATAATATATCGTCCACATTTCAATTTTTATGCCAAAACCAAGCTGTGATGGTGGGTATTTCTGTGTTACTCAGAAATGGAGTGATAGAATGGTTTGAAGTTTTTCCTTAGGCATTTCTGTCAGGATTTTCCTATGCAAGACATTTTGATGGAAGTGAACAAAATAGTATGAGCATCTGACCTGACTCCTGTGGTTCCTGAGAAGAAAATTTAGTCTTCTTCAGATGTAATGTTCTGACTGTAAGGACAGATGCACCCCAGAGTCCAGATAGAAGAGTATGGATGGCTTTAACTGTTTTTTTACAAAGTCTGTACCTCTCAAGAGAATTGAGGTGAAGGAAACATCTTTTGTTCCCTTTAGTATCTTTTTCTTCCAAAGCAATATATTACTATGGTTTTTTTCATATCAGCTGGGATTATGGAAATGCTATGGGACAGAACATGGCAACCAGGTGGTTGCTTTCTCGCTTGAAGGTGATTCCTGATCAAAAGTCAGTCTCACAAATGGCTTACTTCTAGTTTTCTGATACTAAGCCTCCCAGGATAAGCAGACCTTGATGCAAATTTGCAAGTAAGTCTGAAAAAGTTTCTTAGAACAAGTATGATCACATTTTTAGACTATAACTACATCATCTGCATAGTTCACTGATATGTAGAGGAAGGGATGATCAGAAAAAGTCCAAAGAAGCTTCATGTTGACCCAGCTTTAATGATTCCAAATCAAATGTGCCTGATTCTAGTAATAAAAAGCTGTTTGTAACTGTGAGTCCTATATTGGTACTGGCTCGCCGTCCAGAATAGAAGGAAATGGACGCAGCTGTACCTTGGCTCGCATTTGGGTGCATCTGGTTTGCTTCTCCATATGAAGTTATGAGCCTGTTGGTACAAAACTTGACAGTCCTGTGAGCACAAGGTGGAGCCCAGCTTGGTACTCTCAAAGTTGGGCTGTATTATCTTTGCTCTGGCTTCTGTTTTTCATTTTGCCTCTGCCCCACTCAAGCAAATGTCAGAGGGTTCTTCTTGTGAATGAATATGTGTTATATCAAACTTTATTGAAGCCAGTGAGCCACTCTGAAGAAATGAAAACCCATCCAAGCAGAAACACAACTTTAGTTTCAAAGCAAATGTGGTTGAAGGTTTCCTTCTGAGGCTTTAACACTGTAACTCAATTTGTGTCAAAATATATCCTGTTAATACTAAAACGCACAAACCTATTGCCCAGTAGATGGAATTTCATGCAAGTTTAAGCGAAGAATAAGTTTGTACCACCTTTTTGTGAAATGTGTGCACACTTTTTATGAGTGGTGCTATAGACTAAAGTACTACTTACATTAGTCTAAGACCACAGCTATTACCTTCTATGTAGCATGTAATTCAACACATAACTCAGGAGTACAGGTTTTTAAGCCTTTTCCCTCAGCTGGAAATTCTTTCAACACTTTGGATACTATATGGACCCTTAAGAAACTCCCGAACTTTTCTCCGCAAATACATTTGATGGGGGATTTGTAAAGGCTGCTTGTAGTGTGACAAGGATTAGTGGCAAAAAAAATCGAAGGAATGTACTACTCTTCAGTTTACTCTGTTAGTACTATCAGGACAACTGTCTGATGTTAAAATTTATAAATGCCATATTTTTTTATAGGCAACAGAAGACAGTTTGATGTATTTAGCCTTAAGTAGGAAATTTATAATGTCAGTTCTGTTTAATGTCTTTATTTAGCACTTTAAAACTTGTATTAATTGCAAGAAATGGGTGAATTTCTAGGACCTAGATGCACGTGTTTGTTCATTCTGTTGATTAAGTTCCTGAGGCTGTATCCTACCTGAGGCTGGATCCTACCTGCAGCTGAAGTAATGATTACTTCTATTAAAATTGTCAATATACCTGATGTTTTCCATTCGTTGTTCATTTGACTACTTGTTTTCTTGAGACTGATTTATTCAACCTAACTATATGAAGTTGATTAAGTTTTTTTGAAGAAATAGCATTTCTTTGTCTTGGGAAAGAAGGGAGATGCCCTTAAATAACTAACAGTACTTCAGTAGAAGAACAAAGCAGGGACCCAGTAAAGATTAATGAATAGGTTCAAAGAAACACACACAAAATTCGACATTAGAATATTGAATGTTGCTCCAGAAGTGTTGTAGAAGACTGGTAACATCTCCCCTAGGGGAAAAGCTGGGAGAAATAAGCAATTCCTAGTATTTATGCAGCTGATTTCCAACAAAATCTAATTTGTGTTGTTTGCATAGAGACTTGTTAATTGGGAAATTTTGGATTTGAGCGTGTGTTTCTAAATTTACCTTTTGGTGCATCAAGGTCCTAAGCACACTGGCTTTTTTGCAGAAGAGTCTTTCTTCAGCTATGTGTTTAGTTGAGTGTAATCAGGTGTTATTGGCTTCTGGTTTTCCAGTGCCCAAGACAAGAAACCAAATTTGTCTAAAGGTAAGCAAATACTTAGGGGGTTTGCTGTTTCAGAGTGGCTGGAATGTCAAGGGCTGTTACTAGAGAGCTGTCTTGGAGACAGCCTCAGATGTGCACTATGTTATTGCAGCTTATACTAAGCTTTTAGTAAGGATGAACATGAACCTTGAAATTAATGAGAAGTTAAGGTTTTTTAAATTCAATTATCAGATTTGAGTTATTTTACAATCTGGAAAAAAACCAAGGCATTTGCATTTCAAAGTGAATAGTTGCATTGTTTTCTCTAGGTTTCACTGCAAGAGATTGTGTAGGAAGTGCTGCTTAAAGTGTTATGTAGTAAGCAGCTCAGATGAGGATCTGAGGTTTCTTTTGGGTACTGTTGTGTGGAAAAGGATTGCTCTTTATCATATTCAAATGTTCTTCCTGCTGTAAAATGAAACATGAGTTTCACACATGTCCTTGCACTCCAGCGGCTTTTAGGAAGTGATCCAAGAGACAGCAGGTGGCGTTTCTTGATCATACTTTCCTGCCACGCGATTTCCAGGGATAATTTACCTGCAGTGTCACTTAGGGCAGAATGAATAGTTTGGCTTATTTTTCATGTATGCCATATAAAAATGGAAAATCCAGGCAAGAGTTAGCAATGTCTAATGGTTGGTGATAACTGCAAACTTAGAGATTTACAATGCTTAGTTTGAAACTAACTGCATTTTTTGAAACAACTAATCTTTCCTTGATCACAATGGAGTTTTTACAGTATTCTGTGAAAATACTCATCAATGGCCTAGAAGACAGGCTGTTGGTGTAACTGCTAGTACACCAATGACATTTATTAAGGGCTTACATTGCTATACCTCTAAGAGAAAGTTGGGCACCTTTTCCGACTTGAATTGTGAAAGCATTCATTTTTATGTACAGATGGGATCTGCATCATGTGGAGTCTTCAAAGGACTGATAGTCCTCTGCTATAGATGCATCTACATTTGTCCATGAGTTAATGCTTCATTCTTTTTCATATTTCTTTCTACAAACATCTTGAGTCTTTGTAAGGAAAGTTCACTTTCTCTGTGTTTCTCCTAATTTAATTTGCTGCTTCAAAACATTAGAAATGAAGGTGAAAGGCTTAGTCATTGCAGGAGAGCTCAGGAATGCTTCCAGGCCTCAAGTGTTTTTATGTATTTAATAAATCTTCTACACAAGCTTAAATAGCATATGAAACAATGACTTGTTAGAAGTTTGCAGCAATATAGAAAGTGGGAAGACCTAAGTGCATAGGTCTTACAACTACTCAGCTTTGTGTTTGTTTTTTGGTTTGGTTTGGTTTGATTTAGGTTTTTTTCAGAATTGTTTCTGGTTGTTTTATTGCAAAATAAGCAGACTGCTTTGTTGTTTGCTTTTTTTATCTGCATCTGTTGTGGCTGCTTACATGTACTTCTGCTGTCCCATACTCCTTAGAAAGTTTATTAAAAGTAGATGTTGCTTATTCACACCCTTCATTCTCTGTTTCTGTTAACCTGCAGCTTATGAACAGTGTTTTGAACTCAGCAAATGTCTGTCTACTCCCCTTCCAGGATACTTTCTAAGCCACTTTATTTTCATCTGAATGAGAAATTTAAGCAAAGAGAGGAACTAGGAAGACTTAAAACTGCTACTGGTACTGGCCCCATGTTTTGTAATGTGAAATATAGTGCTGTTTTGTGACCGATCTTGTGCCATTGAAGATAGTTGGCTGTAGACCTTCAGAAGTTTCTGATGTGTCTGTTCTGTGCAGTTGTCTGGACCTCTGAATAATTCCAGCAGCATGTGCAGTGAAAACCAAGATAGTCTGACTTCAACTCCCCAAGCACAGATGCTGTTTTTGCCAAGTACAGGTGCTCTAACTAACTGCAAACCCTTGTGTGTACCATCAGGTAAGGTCAGTTTCAAAGTCCCTACGCCAAGCAGCAAATCAAAATAACTGCAGGAGCAGTGATATGAGAGGGAAGTTGATTTAGGGACCATCTGTGCAGATCAGATGTATGGGATCAAAGTCAGCTGAGCCTGAACCTGCTGTTTGCATGAATGATAAAAACTGTCTGGTAGTTTTAAGAGACTCCTTCCTATGGAGATGAAGGCAGCAGTCCCACAAGCAGTCTGGGAGATGTGGAGGTGCTCCCTAGGCTTGCTTATCCTTTGGACTATTACCCTTTGCTGATCTGCCATATGGGCACCAGTGATGCTGCTAAAAGCAACCTGGACTGCATTAAGGGTGGCTACACTTGTGAGGAGAGTAAAGGACAAGGAGGACAGCTGATGTCTGTCAGAGCCTGACAGGGAGACAGGGGAAAGGCCTAAATGCACTAATCCAGAGTGTCATGGCTTGGCTGCATGACTGGTGTCACAGACAGGGTTCTGGTTTCTGTAACCATAGTCACAGCAAGAGCTTGAGGCTGGGTTGCTATATGCTTGGTGAAGTGTGGCAAGTGTGTTTTTGCAAACAAGCTTCCTAACCTAATGAGGATGGCTTCAGATGAGGTATGCTGG